GCGAAAGGAGATGACAGTTGTGGGTGAGGATGAGAGAAATTGGGGCTGGGTAGTGGCGAGCGGCTCTCATTGGCGAGGGAAGGTGCAATCACATAATGTGAGTTTTCATGCATTTGAAATTTACTCAATTTAAGTAAATTTAAAACTAGTCAAAAATAAATATTATAGGGTATTACAAATGCCATCTTGAAATCTGTTGCATTTAGATTACTTCAAATCAAACACTACAAAACTAAAATTAATGTATTTCTCTTATTTTATATTCATAATATTTGCAACCAAATACTCCAATTATATCTTTAAAATAGAAGATAAATATAAATAAATTATATATATCAAAGATGGTGTGTAGATCTGGGACTAAACTAATTTTGGTTATTTCCTGAACAAATTTTGACTTCTTGCTGGGGCAGCTCGCTAAACCCACGAAGTCTAACTAGTTGTGTGCTACAGATGACAGAGAGCAACGCGAGGTGGGCGTGCCACAGCATATTCAAAAAAATGGGAAATGAACAGTAGGAACATGCGTGAATTAAATAAGGAGATAAGTTTATTATTTATTTCAAAATATTAATTAAATTATATTAGTGAACACGTGTTGTAAATATTCATGAATAAAAAATATTTGTTAAATTAAATTAAAATATTCATGATCATAAATAGAGCAAATTAAATTAGTTAAATTAATTTAATAATATTTATTTTAAAAACTATTTATTTATTTCAAACTCAGTCGAGTCAACACGAGCCTTAATTAAACTATAATCGAGCTTCTTAATGAGTCTGTTCATGAGTTTTATATGATATTGTTTGTGAACTTAAACGAACTGAATGACAAGTTGTTCAAGATTATTTATTTAGATATCCAATATTTATCAGTGTTCAAGCTCGTTTGTTTAACTTATTAAATAAACATAAATGAATTCTTATTAAGCTAAGTCATGAGCAGCTCATCGAACACTTGGTTCATTTAAGGCCCTAAATATGACAAACATTTTTTGTTAAAATTTTTAAATTATGAGTTCCTCGATGAATTCTTTCTCCAATATCTTAGATCTAAATTCCTAAGCTACTCGCAGAAACCCTACCAAGTACCCAATCAGGTTAACCACCTTTACTTTTGTTTTGCAGAGATTCCTACTCCCTCGAACAAACCCCACATACGAGCTAATTACATCCCTCTCTCCTAGGGGCTATTTGGCAACATGATTTATGTAGGATTTGGCCTAAATTCTAAATATTGGATTTCGACTGGGCATAAATCTCACGGAAGCAAATCCCAGATTTACATGATTTGGTCAAAGAAGTACACGAATGGGCTAAAATAGTTACCTTTGCAACGAGCTCCCTCCCTCTCATCGTCATTATTACTTCCGACAAAAGAACGTTGAGTTGTCATGACTTCTGACCCAACAAGAAGGAACATCGTCACAGGAGGTGAAACAGACTTTTATCGACAAGTTCAAAATTTTACCTCACACGAAGTTGAATAGGTATGAACAATTGGAGAAGAGGAAAAACAAACCATAGGCCTATTGCCAAACCAAGCTAAAACAGAGGAATTCTTAAAATCTACAACCATTGCTTTTGTAATAACCCATATTTTGACTTTGCCAAATTTTTTTTGGACGGATGTTGTCCGCCGGTATTAACGGGTTTTCCTGTAGTGACTCCAAATCACAAACTATCTTCTTCATAGTGTTACTATTATAGTATTTTACTTGCACAAATTTTTTTTTTATAATTTTTAGGCACCGGTAAAAATCTTAAGAAATTAGTGCCTCTCAGTATAAGTGAGGATATCGGGATTGTCAGATGTCCATTTTGTAAACTGATTTCACTGATATTTTTTAAATAACATGTTTTATTTTATAGATATATTTTATAATTTTTTAAGACCAAAAATAATTTATTTGAATTTTTACTAAAGAAATTATTTAATTAAATATTAAATGAATATTATATTATTATATTATTATAAATATCTTCATGCATTATTTAAGATTTCTTTTCCCTTAAGCAATCGGTTAACACAGACTTGAAATGAGAGAAATGTGAGAGAAAGAAGAAACCTAGATTTGGAGGCCAGGGTGTGATTTTTGTCAGTCGAGCCTGCTGGTAAAATTGTTCGTCTCGCTGTAAGGAACCTTTAGCTTATTTCTAATTTTAAAGATTTTATGTTTTTTATATTTTTTTATTAGAATTGTGTTTATGTTACCAAAAAATATGAATAACATTGTATTCGTAAAACTTTTACCGTGTAGTTTTTTATATGTTATAGAGATCATGATTATGAGAATTTTAAGTATTTATTTGAGATTTTTTACCGGGTGATTTTTAAAATACAATAATTTTTGTCTATCCCAAAATTTATTTTTTTCTCTAAAAATAGTAGTGTAGTACAATAAAATTCTTAAAACATCATTTTATACAATTTTTGATATTTTAGTAATTTTCTAAAAATGTGCTTTTTGCCTAATAAGATTCTTTTTTGTCAACCGTTATGATATTTTAGGCATTTTTTAAATTAATATCAATTATATTTATTTATTGCAATGCATTAAAAATGAATGTGGATATATGATTAAAATTATGATTATAGCACGGTAACAATACTGTGTGTGTGTGCGCGTAAAAGAAAAGTAAAAACTAGTTGATCAATTGGTTTGAGACTAATTAATCTATACAGGATGATGGGTCGACGGGTTTTCCTTTAAATAATATGGTTTAGTGTTATCCTCTATTGATTCAAGTGATACACTGATTGAGAGTTATAAGGAGATCATTACTATGTCGACGGGCAAAAAGCAACAACTCTATTTACTGAGCCAACAATTTACTAACATTGATACTAATATTGAAAAGCACCGTGATAGCTAAGACTTCTTACTTGTTTAATGTGACTACTTAAATGCATGTTCTTGAGGCCTTTTTCTTATTTTTGTACAGATTTATTGTTCCTTCATGGATTTATTATTATTGCATTATTCTACTGCTCCTATCACTAGATTGTTACTGTTACTGATATATATACTGATACTATTTGATACTGCATATTACTTATACTAAGCATATGTTCTACTGATCACGTGACATATAATAATTGAATAGTGTGATATACTGGACATGTGATATAGAATAATTAAATAGTATACATACACTCTATATAATTTTACTATATTAACATGATTTATACAATCTTTACTGATGTTTGAATTTAATGCTTTTTGTGATTTTTTTGTACTAATTGGTATTATGGGTATGATGATTGCCTTATATATTTGACACTCGTACTAGTTTACTACTTTACTGGCTTTCATACTGTAGTATTTTATTATTTACAGATTCTACTACTATTACATGTGAATTTTATTGTTTATGTACTGATTCAAAGATCATATGAATATAACTACTATGATTTAACTGTTGACATGTATATTGCTCATTTACCATGCTTTGAATTCAGTTATAAGTTTTGATAACATGCTGGGCTTTTTAAGCTCATTATATGTGGTTAAATGATTTCAAGTCAGAGTAGTGGAGCAGGAGTGTGAGGTTGGTCAGGATTTTTCAAATTCTATTTCTTTTTGTTATCATCATGAGTAGTATATATGATTTTTGGAAATGAATACTCATATATACATTGATGTTTTAAATTATAGAATATGTTGTGCTGTTTATTATTGATAGATGATATTAGATATTTCTAGTTGTTATTTATTTAAACGATAAAAGAATAATTCTTTCAATTTAAATTCTGGGACATCACAGCTTTGACGGAGAAATATTGTAGGAATTAATTAATTTAATTAAAATTAATTCGAAATATAATGTATTTAATATTAATTTAAATTTTAATTATATTATTTATAATGATTGATTATTAATGATATTTACAATTAATAATTAATAATTTACTTATAAATAATTAAAAGTATAATTAAAATTGAAATTAATAGAAGAAATCAGATGATTTAAGAAATCAAAAAAAGATATGGAAGAGCAGAAATTCAAATTGTTCTAACCAAAATGACTATATATAACTATTGAAAGCAGTGGTTTGGCACTTTTTAACACATGAAAATCCCAACAAAGACTTCCATCGAGTTTAAATACAAACTAAAAGAAAAGGAGGAAAAGATATTCTCATGGAATTACAATACGTAAAAGTAGGATAAAGTTACCAGCAAATTAGTTTCTCCGGATCTGAAGTCTGAACTCAAGCAGATCAAAAAGAAAGATCAATATATCATCTTAGCTTTAGTCGTCTCCTAATAGCTATGAAATTAGTGAAATATTTGAGGGTTCAAGTTATCAATGACAAACATAAAAGAAGAAGAAGAAGAGAGAGAGAGGAGGAAGAAGAGCGATGATGCTATAAAATTGAACCAGAGATCAACCAAATGGTAACTCTACATTTTCTCCTGATAAAGAAGAAGACGACAGAAGCATGAATTTGAGAGACATAGAGAAAGAAATGAAGAGAGATAATCATCAATTTTATATAGATAACTGCAGCTTCATGATCAGGTAGAAGAAGTAGAGAAAACTTCTGAGGACGAAACAGGAAACAGAGAAAGCAATCTCGGAGGCTTGGGCATTGTCCGCGGGGAAGGAAGGAAGTAAAACCCTCTCCCGATGATGTCTACAAGAGGGGAAATGAATAGCTGAAAAGTGAAACTGCCAGTTGCGGTAGAAGATGAAACGGCTGGAGATCTCGCTCGGTTGAGATAGAGAGGCGTGTAACGCTCGTATGGCCATGATATAGAAATGCTAGTTTGATGTATGAAATTAATTATTTTTAATGAGTGAATAAATATTTTGTAGGTAGAAGTTACGTGTGTTTTAAATGAAGAATATGAGAAGTCACAAATGAACGTTTCAGATCATTTTGAAAATTTACAAATGAACGATGAGGATTTACTAAGAGTGAAATCCCAAGCCACTTTTATATAGTAGTATAGATATATAGGATTTACAGGATTTAATAAATCGTAAATAGTTAAATCATTCTGGTGGCCAAACAGCCCCTTACTCCATGGCGACGGCGGAGGTGTGGAAGAAACCCTCGCCGGGTCGAGGAGGTGTCTCGCTGCCGCCGGGAATAACCGAGGAGGAGGCACGCGTGCGCGCCATTGCAGAAATTGTCTCCTCCATGGCAGAGCTCTCTCGCCGAGGTGAGAAGGTAGACCTTAATGCGCTTAAATCGGCGGCTTGCCGCAAGTACGGCCTTTCTCGAGCTCCAAAGCTTGTCGAGATGATCGCCGCCGTCCCGGAAGCGGACCGCGATGCCCTTCTCCCCAAGCTTCGGGCCAAGCCCGTTCGCACTGCTTCAGGTATTGCCGTCGTGGCTGTAATGTCGAAGCCTCACCGATGCCCTCACATCGCCACCACGGGCAATATCTGCGTGTACTGCCCTGGAGGTCCGGACTCCGATTTTGAGTACAGTACTCAGTCCTACACCGGTTACGAGCCCACCAGCATGAGAGCCATCCGTGCTAGGTATTCTCTTACCAAAGCTCTATCTATTTTTCATTAATTTGGCTGTAGAATTCGTCTAAGTCTTTGAGTTGCAATCCTATCAAATTTCAAGTTTTAATTTTATTAAGTAATTGTTTCATCATTATAACCATTAGCGTTATCCAAAGTGGTCTGGACTGTAACTGTTCTTTTTGTCTAAGGTGTTAGACCAATTTTTTGGAAATCTCTACTAAGCATTTTGTCATGGGTCCAACCGTTTTCATTTCTATTCCTTCAAAAATTTATCTATCTGTTAATAGGTGCAATTTCTTAACTTTTGTTGTACATTTGTAAACATGCAACTCTTTCTTCGGCCATCTTGTCTTTAATAAATATCAAATATCACTCAAATGTTTCTTGAATTTTTCAATTCATTAATTTATGCTCCCTAATTTTGTCTTGCATCAATTCTCAAATTTATATCTTGGGGCTATTGTTCAGACTGATGGTGAAATAGATGAGGACATTATTAGTAGAATTCAAATTGGATGGTTGAAGTGGAGGAATGCATTGGGCTTGTTGTGTGATAGAAAAGTCCCCCTCAAACTTAAGAGAAAATCGTATAAGATGGTGGTTAGACCTGCAATGCTTTATGGTGTAGAATGTTGGCCATTAAAAGAGAAGCATAATATTAACTTAAGTGTTGCAGAGATGAGGATGCTCAGGTGGATGAGTGGTTTTACACTTAGACAGGATACAATATGAGCATATACATGAAAAGGTTGGAGTAGCTTCAGTGGAAGATAAGATTAGATAGAGACGCCTTAGATGATTTATTCACATAAACCGGCATCTTTTCGATGACCCGGTTAGAAAAGTAGATGTATTATATTTGATTTATGTTAAGAACGGTAGAAGTAGACCTAAAAAGACTTGGTTAGAAAATATTTGAAATGACCTTTCTTTATTAGATTTAAATGAGAATTTAACTCTTAACATGACACAATGGAGAAAAAAATTCATGTAGCCTATCCCACAGTGGGATAAAGGCTTAATGTTGTTGTTGTTTATCAATTCTCAAATTTCTTATTTATGTTTTGTTTGATTCAGCTGTCATGGACTTTTTAAGTTGCCCAATATTTAGATTCATACAACATATCTGGTCTAATTGCAATTTTATAAAATTTTCATCAAGCATTAATGATATCCTTTTATCATATCATAAATTTGAATCAATTCTCCATTTTAGCAACCTAATTTTAACTCTACAAGATGCATGTTCATCTTTTTCATCATTCTTAGGTATCGTTATCTCCTTGTTATATGTATTGCACGATCCCTAGTTAGTGTCCGCCAATTCCAAGAACTTCTTGTTGCCCCTCTGCTTTATTCTATATAATTTTTAATAGAATTATCTTGTTATTACTTTCAGACATGTGGTTATTATGTACATTAGTTTATTACCCACTGCAATTTTCTCATTAACCAGATACTGGCAAGAAATCACTTGATCCAGAGATTTTGCTGATGCTTCATAGTAATCATAATTAATATCTCATGAATCAAAGGCTCTTAGAAAATAATTAGATTAAGGAAAGACAAGATAGGATAAATTAGGGGATTAAAAAAAAATATTATCTCAAAAGACTAATAGGTTTTAATTGAAAAAGATAGGACAAAGAAATAAATGAATGCCAATTCAGGATTTTTGATAAATTTCTTAGCCTTTTATCAGAACAGCTATTTTTGTAATGAGTTTCAAGATAAAAAAAAAAAAAAACTATTTTTGTAATGAGTTCTTTGAAAGTTCCATATCTATTGATACGTTTGAATTTTTTTTACTCCAGATACAACCCATATGTCCAAGCTAGAAGTAGAATAGATCAGCTCAGGAGGCTGGGTCATAGTGTGGACAAGGTTTGTGATGTTTTTTATTTAAAAAAAGTTTTATTCCTGTTTCATTGAGAAGAAGTTTGTTTTCTTCTGAATTCATATTTTGGTTCGTTACTGATATTTTTTTCCCAGGTGGAGTTCATTTTGATGGGGGGAACCTTTATGTCTTTGCCTGCAGACTATCGTGATTATTTTATTAGAAATCTCCATGATGCTCTGTCTGGGCATACATCCATGAACGTCGAGGAAGCAATCAGCTATTCGGAGCATAGTGCTATCAAATGTATTGGCATGACAATTGAAACGTGAGATCCTGTTCATCTTATGAATTTTTTTTCATTTTCAGAGGTGACTAATGGAAATATAAACTGTGTTGTAACAATACCCTTTCTTCTAAAAATGCCTGCTCATAAGGTTCCATTATATAGTTCGGAGTAGTCTAACGATAATGATGAATGCAAAGCTGTCTAAACAAATTTTTACAGTTTTACATTCATTTCATGAAAGTCTTTGTTGGAAATTTGATGGAATGATTCACCTTCTTGTTGTTTGAATGTTTGGGTATCACTTTAGTCAATCCCACTGGTTTGAACTGTTAATAGCTTGTTTCATTAGGGATTGACATGTCTTCCTTTTGCTATAAAGCCTGGAAAACTATTGTGATAACTAAGTAGAAGCTCAACCTCAACCCCATGCATTGCTGCATTGCTTCCCATTTTTTTCTTATTCTTGGTGCTCCTTTCTAGCTCTTATTTCATTATTCTTAGGGACAACTCTAATGAAACTCTACTTTTACTATTACAAGCTGCTTCCATAAACTGCACAATACTTGCTTGGTTAATGCTTTGTTTCAACTTACAGGTTCCAGTTTGTTTGAAAATTTAATTTGATCTTCTAGTTGCCCTCAGCTTATGTTTGCTTGCATATGTAACTTGAGAGAATAAGAATACTGAATACCCTTTATCCACAAGCGTTGGCAACAATTTCTGCCTTCTCACGCCAACCCTGTGTCTGTATGAATGCATTAAGTGAGTTCCGTTACTCAAGTCTATGGCCTGCTGTTGACTCCTACATCAAATACATATAAAAAGGGGGAAAATTGGAGAATTAAGCGATGTGTGCATTGGCACGTCACATCACTTGAAAAGCCAACCGGACCGCGCCTTTAAAATCAGGAAGTTGAATTCAGCTAGGGAACCCTTCGCTGTAAAATTGGATGAGATCAGTCAAAACAGACGAGCGACACCCAAAATTGATGCGTGACGTTGCCCAAACGATATCTGATCACAAAACGGACTTCGCCGTTGCGTTCAGAGCACTATCAATATCGAAAAATGACTATTAATTTGTTCAATTAAAATCACAGGAGGAAATCGACGTGGATTCCAAGGCTATGACACACAAATCAAGGAAATTGCGCCCAAATCAAAGCATTTTGGGGCAATTCTGCAATTTTAAATTAGTAATAATAATATCATTATTAATACTATTATTAATTTAATTTAATTTTTTAAAAAATTATCGAATCAAATTAACTCAAATCACAATCGATTACCTCTTTCTATGGAAGGATCCCTGAAATCTAGGCAAAGAATCTTCTTGAAAAACCTTGGGTAGATGCAGAAATCCCATGCTTGCCTCGATCATTGTCGTCTGCTTGCCGTTAAAATAAAACCAAATGAGGTTTCGTGGTTTTTGGTTTTTGTTGACTTAGAACACCACAGCCTCACCCGTCTCCAACAATCAAACCTCCTCCATAGCTAATAGGCATTGCCTTCCTCTCTGTGCTCGATTAGATCTCCCGTGCCGGAATTCTCACTCACGTGAAAATCTGGCCGTAGCTATCGATCGACCCTGTCAGCCTGTTTGAAAACCATCTGACCTGAACCTGCTACTTGCCACAGCTGTCAAGCGACTCCCTTACGATAAAAGCCATCTGTACCTCCGATCTCTCCATGTCCTACCAAACTCCACATATCGATCTAACCTTCCTTCACCCACAACCAAAGCCCCTTTAACAATCGTCCAATCTACTTGAACGGTGCCAAAGGCCTGTCAATCCTTCAGCCAAAATTGAGATCCCTCACACCCAGCAAACCTGATCCCTTCTATACACGCCAATGTTTAAAATTGCCTAATCGGGTATTGAGGTATTTTTCATTCATGAAGCGAGGCATAAGCCTCAAGAGGTTTTGAGGCGTAAAAGCCTCAAAATAAAAAAAATGCGTAAATATAAAATGATAAATTTTGTATATACTAATGAGTAAATAGTATATAAAACATAAAATGCACAAGATATGAAATGAAATCAAAATATCCCAATAATAAAACAACATGAATACAACAATTCCGGGGGTCCAAGGGGGCGCTGCCCCCTGGCGGGGTTCGACCTGACCGGTCAGGTCGTGGGGTCAAGGGGCAGCGCCCCCGAAACAAATTTTTATTGTAAGAGTAATTTTGAAGTTCTACTTGTTTTTAAAGTTCGCAAGTTATTTGTATGAAAAGATACCGAGCGGTACCAGCATGTACCGAGCGGTACCGAGCATGTACTTGGCGGTGTCGAGCATGTACTGAGCGGTACCGAGCATGTATTAAGCGGTACCGAGCATGTACCTAGCGATACCTAGCAGTACCGAGCATGTCCTAAGCAGTACCGAGCATGTACATTAGATTTTTTTTTTTAATTTTTAGAGACGGGCGCCTCTCAACCGTGAGGCGAGGCGCGCCTCAGTAAACTTGCGGTGTACGCCTCATATCCTGAACTCATTGCGTGGGCTTTGAGGCTTAAAGGGGCGAAATTGAGCTGAGGCGCGCCTCTTATTGCGCAATTTTAAACTATGACCCATGCCTTCTCTTCTTATCCTAACAAGCATCAAGCCACCAAACCTCCTTGCTGTGACTTCCAACTCTTCAAATCACATAACCTGCTGACTTCTTGATGAGGACTCAACAGAAGGTTTTGGCGCGTCTATAATCGGAGGAATCATAGATTGATGGCTACGATTCGGAGTCTTTACTTATGAAGCATTATATGTATTATTTTATTTTGTATCTTAGTTTTACCATTGTACCCTTATGAGGGCTTAGTTCAGGTTGTAGCCCAAAGGGCATTTCAGTCTTTGCATTTTTTTTTTTATTTTAAACCTATATATAGAGGTCTTCATCATTGTATGAGGTTAATGATTGATTAATGAAAATTTCAATTTTTGGTTCTTTGTTTTCTTGTGAGCTCTTTAGAGAAGAGAGAATCCTAGGAGGGGGTCAAGCAACACTCGTCAGCTGCCGGTAGAGGCCGGGCTCGCAGTTTGTATCAGTTTTATTTTCTTAGTTCCCCTTCCTTCTCCCTATACCGCCAGTTATCCACCCGTCCCCATCCCCAACCGCCGGCCAACCTTCCCCTTTTCACCCACACCCATCGGCCTAGCCACCCCCAAGTCCCCACCGTCGGCCTCCCAAAACCCCAATCCAAACTCCACCTAAATCCCCTACCGCCGACCACTCACCTCTCCCTACTCTCGGCCACACTTATCCTCAACCACCCCATACTCGTCGGCCTCCTCCCTCTTCATCTCAAGCCGCCGCACCTCTCCCATCCCCACCTAACCCAGGTTCAGTCTTCATTAGCTGCAGGCCTCTCCCTAGTTCAAGCTCAATCTGCCGCCCTCTCCTCCTCCCCAAACCCTAATTTTCAAATTCAAATTCCCTCTAAAACCCTTTCCTAATTTTCCCAATTATTATTTAGGAAAGTCTTTTAATTTTGAACTCAAATGAAATTTGAAATTTAAAATCTTTCGTAATTAGTAAGCCTAATTTAGGAATCCTCCTCAATCACCTCAAATCTGAAATTAATTAGAATTACTTCCAATTTCAAGATTCATTGCACCTAGACACATTCATTGAATGTGGACAGCCCCTCCCTCCCCTTCCTTTGGCCGGCCCCCTCTCCCTCTCTCCAAATAATTTTGTTCCTCATTAAGGCCTCCTATTAAGGAGATAATTAATCACCTCTCTCCCCTCTTTCTCCTTTTGTTTTAGAATTCAAAATTTTTAATTCTTCCATTCAAATTCCACCTAAAATTTGAAATAAAATTTCAGATTCTGGAATTATTTCTCCTCCCCTCCCCCCCCTAAACCTAAAATTAAAATTAAAGTGGTCACTCCTAGCCTTGGTTGACCCCCCGCAAGCCATTCTCCCCTTCATTGCCTCTCTTCTCCATTGCTTCACTTACCTCCCAAGGAAGAAGATCGATACCACTTAATCTACTCCCCTTATGAATGGCCGAACCCAAGCACAATCATGGATTCGTGTATGATCTTCAAGGACGAGTAGATATCCTCCAGTCTCCCTTTTTCAACCTCAACTTGGAGATCGACGACACCGTTGACGACTATGTCTATCGAATCCTTTTAACCTTGATGTCTGCCATCGACGAACACCACACCTCCGGATAGTGGCGGGTTATTGGACATTCACCAACTTCTTCCCCTCCGGCTAACTTTTCATTGGGTAATGTTGTAGGCGTTCTCTTTCTTTTGGTGACATCTTTAGGTTTGCTGAAATTATTCTCTCGCTGACCCCACCATCAAGAATTAAAGTGAGGGGAACTCGAGGTGAACTTTCTATTTATTAAACGGTGGATTTTTGTTATTTATACATCTAACGTTACTACAAGTTTGTTCTTATTTTAAATTGTCATGTTAACCTTTCTTGTAACCGCATGCCAAAGCAAAACTGCAACTAAGAAATTCTAGAATCCTATCTTAGTAAAACATTGAGTTTAAAATTAACTAAGCTTAACAACTTGTTATTAATTCCTAAGCAATTCTTGTTTTTATATATGTTTCACATCACTTCTTCTCCTCCAACCAGTATTAGCCTTGCTCCTTTCGGTTAGAAGAAAGAAAATGTAGTGGCTGCAGCTTTTCTACTCTTAAGCCTCTCACGTCACCCTGCACGACCTCTTGCAATTTCACGTGATTGGCTTCCTATTCAAAAAAATATACATATCTAACACCAAGTAGCCCACTCTCACAGCAGGCCCATTCCCATGGTAATTTCATCTTCATTTTACCTGAACATTCCATCCTCTTCTAAGCAACATACCACCTTCCTACTCCTCCAGCCCATTGCGAACCCTTTAGACAACCCATATTCAAACCCACAATCAGCCCTCTTGTTCATTAACATAGCCCACCAACAAACCAGCCCATCCCACTTCTCTAAATGAGCCCACGTTTTCTGCACTAACCCATTCCTTCTCTATTTAATTCCTATCAGCTTTCCACCTCTATTCTAACCCAAGCAGCCTACAAGCCCACCATTCGCAACCTTCCAAGCCTCCTTAAAGCCCACCACCTAACAGCCAGCCCACTACACACTTCCTATCCTCCTCCCTCAATTTACTTAGCCCAACACCTCTCAACTCCTCAATCTGTCTAGCCCGAACAGCCTGCAAATCATTAGTCAGGCTTCAACAACTTCATCCAACCCATTTAAGCCCAAAACAGCCCGCAGTCAACATTAGCTTACAAATGGACACAAATTTTCTTACAGGCGGTGATGGTAAATATGCTGCGGTATAATGGATCCTCCATGAACGTGGACGTGCAACATATCATTTACAAGCAAGAATCAAAGATCACAACAAATGCAGACATCTACAAACAACTGCAGGGGACTCGTTAGTGCATGACAGTCTTCCTGCATAAAATAAAAAATAACCTACATCACAACATTACAATTCACCTGTAAGCAAAAGTTGAGAATCAATAGTAAAAAATTGCAGACCACTACTAAACTGAGGCAATAAATTTGCAATGCTAGGTTTTCACATAAGATGAATCAATTTACTCACCAGTGACATGTAGGAGGTTTCTGATGCTCCGCATAGCTCATTTGCAAGCTAAAGCATATTTTTGCAAGCTGAATGCATTGTTGAATAACACCACTGGATCCGTAACATGCATACAAGCGGATAGAAGACGTTTATAAATTCCTAAGTGGAGACTTGCACATTTCTCAACAACTCATATGCAAGAAATAACAAATAACTATAGTGCAACACCATGCCATCAGATCTGTAGCATTCGTACAAGCAGACAGAAGGTGTCTACACGTTTCTAAATAAGATGCTGTGTACACTCAAATGACGAGCCTTTGCACAACTGATTAGTGTCAAGCATTTTAAAATACCTCCTTATGCGTTGAAAGAGTGTTGACACATTCATACATGTATGCAAACAAATGTGTATACATTTATAGAATCACTTACGTATAACTACTACATAAATACGTTATGCAATATATATATATATACCCGCATGAGTATGTTGTCTACACACACGTGACGTTTGAGGATGTTGCGTGGGTTAAGAAATGAACTCAAATTTGAGCTCGATCCTTCTATGTGGATAAATAGGAGTCACAGCGGCTCGAACTATCAAACAAATATACGGTCGCTACGTCGACTGAATATTTGTTTTATACGTTTATATTAGGCCTTCAAGGTCTATTATAAGAAAAATTCATTAACAAAGACATAAAGCCGAGGACGAACATTGTCGATAATGTTCAACTAAGAAAATGAAATTGCCCATAAGTACCTTGATGATGGACGTGTTGATTACAAATCTCAACCGGAGGTCATCCAAACATTCAAAGATGCCTCTCACATGTTTATAAAAATCCAAAATATAAAAATGCAAAAATCTAAAATATTTAAAATTAACCATTAAAACACTTAAAGCAAAGTCTATCCATCCTCTGCAATAATTTCTCAAGGTGGACAAATTCTAAATATATTTTAGCTCATAAAGAGCCAATGTTTGGTCAAGAATATCACCAGGATTCATTCATAAATAGTCTCATACCATTAAGGACGTGACACGTGTCCTTTGACCTGTGATTTCACCGTCAAATGGCACCACATCGTGGATTTCGTTGCTAAATGGCATCATAGGTAAATGGTTATGATCGAGACCCTCTGAACTGGAAAGTTTTGAAGCCAAATGACACAATTATATTATGTTCATGATAAGAACCTGTATGCTTTCTAATGACATCAAATCCTTGAGATATAAATCAATAGGATATAATTGATAGCACACAAAGCTCTTTGTTAGTTAAGGTAGATTCAAATTTGTCCTCTTAGGCAAATATTCACTCTAGGTTTATAAGGTACCCTTAGACGAAGCAACCCATGGCTGCCGATAAGGATCCTTCTGTCATGTTGGGTTGACTACATCCTTTGATTAAGTGGACTAGGGACCATGATTGTCCGAGACGACGGAACCATAGGATCTTGATCAGGTCCATCATCACTTCCCGTACCATTCACTTTAAGTGCAAAATGGTGAAATTTTCAATTTTAAATATCAAGTTTTGAGGATGCTAAACTCCTTGGGTTGTAATTTATTACTTTTTTTTTTTCCGTTTCCTCCTTTTTTTTTCTTTCTTAGTGATATTAGGTTTTACTGGTTAAACTTTTGGATCTTGATTATGCTGGCATGCATATTTTTCATACAAGAATGTATCCATACATTTATGAGTTGCTTATAAAAAAATTCCTTAGCATGTTGGCTATACAAATTTTTAGACTAGTTTATCCATATATTAAAAAGAGTACACGTTAAAGAAATTGTGGTTCTATTGTTCAAAATGATGGTGAAATAGATGGGGATATTATTAGTAGAATTCAAATTGGATGTTTGAATTGGAGGAACACATTGAGCCAGCTGTGTGCTAGAAAAGTACTCCTCAAACTTAAGGGAAAATTTTATAAGATGGTTGTGAGATTTGCAATGCTTTATGTTGTAGAATGTTGGCCATTAAAATAGAAGCATAAAATTAAGTATTGATGTGATGAGGATGTTTAGGTGGATGAATGGTTTTACACTTAGGGATAGAATTTTGAATGAGTATATATACATGAAGATGTTGGAGTAGCTCTGGTGGTGGGTAAGATTAGAGAGTCGCCTTAGATGAGTTGGTCACATAAAATATTGACCTTTCAATTATCCGATTAGGAGAATAGATGTATTTTATTTATCCTATGTTAAGAAAAATATAGGTAGACCTAAAAAGACTTTGTTAGAAAGTATAAGAAATGACTTTTTTTTTAAATTAAATTTAAATAAAAATTTGACTTTTAATAGGATACAATGGGAGAAAAATGATTCATATAGCTGACCCCATATAGTGGGATAAAAACTTTTTGTTGTTATTATAGTTTATCCATATATTCATGAATTGCTTATGGGAAAATCCCCTTGAGAATATCTATTATATTGGTTGTACATATCTTTTAGAGAATAGTGTATCCATACATATATGAGTTGCTTATGAGGAAATTCCCTTAAATATCTAGCATGTTGGATGTATTGTCTTTTCCTAGTGTTAACTGTTTACGTTTTTGCTGATGAGCAGAAGACCTGATTACTGCTTGGGACCTCATTTGCGTCAGATGCTTTCTTATGGTTGCACTCGGTTGGAGATAGGAGTTCAAAGCACATATGAAGATGTTGCTCGTGACACTAATAGAGGCCATACGGTCACTGCTGTGGCTGATTGCTTCTGCTTAGCGAAGGATGCTGGGTTTAAGGTTTTAACTTTTTTTTTTACCTATTCAGATGTAGCTCAACTGCTTAAAAGTTTATCATAGCCTTGTGGTATTTATCATTGTCTGATACTTGTAAGAACTTGTCTAAATACTTTATATTATCATTTATTTGTTTTTTTTTTGAAGTTATAAAAATGATATTTTCATATCAAAATACTTTACCTGAAATAATCTACATAACGTAGGTTTAAAAGATAGATGAGTACTTGTGAATCTTTAGAGTCTATGATTTTAAACTATTAGGTTATGACTATATTGCCTTAACTTTAACAAAATATTTGTTTTGTAATGAGCTTTTCTTTGAATTTAAAATTGAGCACTTGAACTGACATAAGACAACTAGGCCTAGTCAGCTACTTCAAAAGTTTGTACTGATGAAGGTGCAATTAAGGTTTTATGGTAAAATCTGTAATCACCCTTCGATTGTGGGTGAGGTGAATACATTACTCTTGAGTCAATCATTAATTGTGATCAGATGTTGATCTATTTCAGCATCCTTTATGGATTGCAAGAGATATGGTGATCAGAATTGTATCCTTTAGCTATTCTTTGGAATTCCATCCCACATGGGCACCCAATTGCATCACGTAGGAATAATCATGTCTTTAATTCTTTATAGCTAAAGGTCTACCAAGTCCCGTTAGTATGTGAATTACCGTACTTGGTTAAATTGTCAGCCATGGTGAAATGTAGGTTCATGACCAAAGTTGTCCATCATGATTTGCAAAATATATGGTAATTATTATTTTGTCTTCTTAATAATTCTGTCATGGTAACTATCTTTTTTTTGGAGGGCTAGGATAGTCATTGGCTAATATTAAAAAAGCTGCTTTTGAAATTAATATTTGGGGTAATGGATGTAAAATAAACATAGAATCTCCATTCAGCCATCAGAGAAAAAAGATAAAATCTTCACTAGAAATGTATTAGTGGTGTTTTCTTGGATTGGTCCACTTAAGCTATGCCTATGTTTTCATATTACATATAGGCATTGTAGTTTATACACTTCTAGAACTCCCAATATGCTATCAAGCCTTGCTTGGATGTAGGAATGTTTCGTATGCAAACTAATAAAATATATCAGATTGAGGGAGCTAACACAACCAATACATTCTAATTAAAGGTCTCGTAGTTTCCATAAGTATATATGTGTGCTAAAATGTACATGAGTTGGTCTTCACCATGATTAAATACAGGACCATAATCCAATTTTCTATTGGGGACATGAGTGACATGTATATCGTTATTTTTCTCTGTTACTAATATTGTAACACTGCTGTTGCTAGGTTCCAAGTCCTAAATGAGAAAAGTGAAGGGTTGCGTTAGGCAGTCGACAACCAGCGTAAAACTTGTCGAATAATAATGACATGAATCCTTTAAGAAATTGCGTTAATGCTAGGGTGTCCCCTGGAAGCGACGCGCTGTATGACTTGAATACAGTGATAAGTGTGCAAGGGCCGCTGCACCGGCGCCTGGATGTAGTGTTAAATAGGCAAGGGTTCCCACATCAAGGACGGATGTGGGAAAAGAAGCTAGTCCATGATACTAAAAATCATGAAATTAAAATTAGGATAAGAACTTGGAATATAGATTCCCTTACAGGAAAATTAATAGAATTAATAGATATTATGATTCATAGGAAGTTAAATATTTTGTGCATTCAAGAAACTAAATGAGTTGGAGAGAAGACTAAGAAAATTGATAATTTAGGATTTAAACTTTGGTATTCGGGTAGGAGTCATACTAGAAATGGTGTTGGTGTTATTATAGATAATAGTTTGAAGGATAATGTTTTAAAAATTAATAGGATTGGAAATAGAATTATAGCTTTAAAAATTGTTATTGAAGGTAAGATTGTTAATATTATAAGTGCTTATGCTCCTCAAGTAGGTTTGGATATGAGTTCTAAATTAAATTTTTGGAATGACTTAGAAGAACTAATACAAAAGATACCTCTTGAAGAAAGTTTTTATTGGAGGAGATTTAAATGGACATGTTGGTAGAGAGGTAGATGATTTTAAAAGCATTCATGGTAGCCATGGATTTGGAACGAACGACAAATGAGGTAGTAAGACCAATTAGATTTAGCTCAATGTTTTTTTTTAATTGCTAATCTTATTTAAAGAAAAGAATGAGCATCTTATCAACTTATAAAATAGATATAATACAACTCAGATTGACTATTTTTCTATATAAGAAAATTAGATCGTTAGATTGCAAAAGATTGTAAAGTACGATGAAAACTTATGTACCAATATGATATTAATTTGAACTTTAAGATAAAAGAGAACAAAAAATAAAAAAATAAGTAAAATGATATTCAGGATTAGATGGGGGCATTTAAAGAATATATCAAAAATATTTTTTGAGAGTAATATTTTTGATCTTAAGATTTTGTCTGTGCATAGGATCTAATGTATTGGGAAAAAGTGGCTAGTGATATTAAGAATATTGAAAAGATGTGCTTTGTAATATCAAGAAAAACCTAATAGTAAAAATAGTTGTGGGAACATCCAAATGTGGCAAGAAGATAAAATAAGAAGATGTTATCATAAAAATTGGTTAATTTAAAATTCTGATGGAATTGCGAAGAATAAGAAGCTCGGAAGGATCTAGAACATATGCGATGAAAAGACCGGTTAGCTTTAGTGATTAGTAATAGATTTAGATACAAGGAGGAGAAGATATTGATATGTTGCCACAAAAAGAGATAGTAGTAACGATTTAGTTCAAGTGAAGTGTATAAGATGAAGATCAAAAAATACTTTTTATAAAGATGATATTCAAAACAAAGTGATGATATTTTGCTAAACTTTTAATGAAAATTTTGCAAAATAAGATGACTGAGGATCTTACACCCAAATGAAAATAAAGATTTATGTTTTACGGCCGTATTAGTAATTGAGTAGAGAGGCTTAAAGAAAATGAAGGGTGGAAAAGCTGTTGGACCCGATGAATTCCCAATAGAGGTAATGAACAATTCTTAGGAGATGAAGGAATTTTTGGCCTTACTCTAACCTTTTTTAAATACTATTTTGAAGACTAAAAGACGTCCAGATGAATGGAGAATGTGTGTATTAAATTCCATTTTAAAATAAAGGTGATCACAAATTTGATTATAGAGCGAATAAGTTAATGTTCATACTTTAAACTAGGGAGCGAGTTTAGGAGCATATTTGGTTGCGACTTGAATCTAATGTTTCTCAAAATCAATTGGATTCATGGCCGGGTGGTGACTATGGAAGCTATACATTTATTAAATGAGGTTTGAATGGAGAATATAGAAAAAAAGTAGGATCTACATATTAAATTTAATTGAATTTAGAAAAAGCATATGATAAAGTTCCAAGAGAATGCTTGGAGAGTTCTTAAAAAGAAAGGGGTTATAACGCTATATTCAAATCATTAACAGATGAATGGTATATGCAGAGCTATTACTGTGTCAACACAAGGTGGTTGACGCGAGAGTATTTCCTATTTCGGTGGGGTTACATCAAGGCAGCCTTAAGCCCATATCTTTTGCTGAGTCATGGATGTTCTCAACAAGACATTTGCTAAGAGGGAGGGTGGGTACTGGTTGTAGTGTTGCTTTTTTGCTGATGATATTCTTCTTGTTGATAAGAGACTAGAGAGGGAGTGAAGGAAACTTGAAATTATGGAGGTCAACCTTAGAGCTAAAGTTTTTCGCTTGAGTAGAAAACAGAATATATGGATATATGGTAGTATAATAGACCAGTGAGGGGATGAGTATCTTTGGGCGATCAAGTCATTAATCCAGAGTAATTACGTTTTTCAGTTTTGGATCTATGTTCAGGGATGGTGAAATAGGGGATATATCAACCAAATTCAACGTGATGTTGAAGTGAGGAATCACGGCTGTGTGTGATAGGAAAAACCCTACAAACTTAAGGGAAATTTTCTATAAGATGTGGTGAGGCCTGCAATGCTTTATGGTTCCAAATGTGGCCATTAACAGAAGAACGAATACCAAATAAGTTGTGGCCAGAGAAGAGGATGCCTCAAGTGGATGAGTGGCTTTATCCTTAGAATAAGATACAAATGAGCATATATGTGAAAAGGTTGTAGTAGCTCCCTAGAAATAAGATTGAGAGAGTCGCCTTACATGGTTTGGGTCCATAAAACGGAGGCCTTCCATGACCGGTTTAGGAAGTAGAGGTATTGAGATTTGACATATGTTAAATAAAGATAGAGACAGACCAAAAAGACTGGCTAGAAAATATAGGAATGACCTTTCTTTATTAGATTTAAATGGAGAATTTGACTATTTAAATGATACATGGAGAAAAAAAGGTTCATTAGCCGACCCCACGTAGTGGGAAAAGGCTTGAGGTTGTTGTTGTGTATCAATTTTCGTCTCCTTCTCCTTGGTCGATTGTACAGGTAGAAATCACTACATGATACTTTCTAATTCAAATGTGTAGATCCATAAGCTTTTGAGTGATGGGTACAACCAAGGCTTATTCAAATGGTTAGTCACACGTGCTTCTATGGCATCATTCTGATAGCCTAAAGTGAATTATTATGAAAGGTGTTATTAGTTGGAAATCCTCTCCCTTCTTCCTGATGGTTGATAGTGAATGCTGTTTTTGAACCAATTGCAGAACTTGAGCTTGATAGTAGGTGATCCAACCATTGGGAAGAACAAACTAATCCAAAAAACTGATAATGGAATGGCGTGGCCAAGATTTTTATAGTCAAAATATTAACTACCCAAAACCATGGTACACACAAGCCACGTTAGTTTGCCAAGAAAGTTATATCGATGACTTGGTGTCCTTCTACGGATCATAGAAATCATGGATAATTTTATTTATCCTCTGACACTCCTCTGTGATTAGAAAGGTGAGATGAAGTAATATCACTAGTTGTAATGCTTTCCTTCCTCGCGCCAATAATTCATCATTATAACCACCACCTATCCACTAATCATTTTAGAGCTTTGAAAGAACTATTTATGGGGG